ACACAGACAGACAGATAAACAGACAGAGATCCAGACAGACAGATAGAGATACAGACAGACATACATACACACAGAGATTCAGTAGCATCATTGTTGTGAGTTGCAAGACTGAATTAAAGTAAAAATAAGCAGACACGCGAATCAGCTTTAGTTCTTCTTTTTACTTCCTTACTTTAGTTTTCACGAAAAAGTCCCTTTTTTTCTTGGAATGCTCCCTCTCTGACACCCTTGAAGGAGGATGTGGGCGTGGCAGCATGACAAATTCAGAAGTGACGCCATTGCAATACGCTTGGCTATAAATTCCACAGATTTGAACTGAGGTGCACCAAAATCAGCATGATCGATAATTATCCACTCTTTGAACAGGAATCCATGATAAGTGGCCAATAGCCTTCACAGCGCACCCTATATGATTCCTACAGTTATATCTCAGTGATACATCATCTGATCTGAACCAGATTTATTGTGCATCATCAGTGAGCACTTCTAGACACACTGATGTTGTGGTTTAACATATGGCTCCAGTACGCCCCCTAGATTATGCCAACTGTTATATCTCAGTGATACATCATCCAATCTGCACCGGATTTATTGTACGTGATCAGTGAGCACTTTTACTCACATTGGTATTGTTGTTTAACACTAGACTCCAGTGCGCCCCCTAGATTATTCCAACAGTTATAGCTCAATGATACATCATCTAATATGTACTAGATTTTGGGTGCATCATCAGTGAGCATTTCTAGACACATTGATATTGTGGTTTAATATATGACTCCAGTGTGCCCCTTAGATTATTCCAACAGTTATATATCAGTCATACATCATTTGATATGCACCAGATTTATTGTGCATAATCAATGAGCACTTCAAGACAAATTAGTATTGTTGATTCATTACATCACTTAAGCCCCACCCATTCAGAGAAGAAACTGTTGATTATTGTGTGACTCCTCCAGCTTCGTCCTGTGTGAGAGATAAGACTGAAACTGTTTTTGCAAACTGCTGATTACCACACATGACATGTGGAAAAGCATAAAGGAAGTGCTCGTCAAACATTCGCCACAAAAAAAGAAGTCACAATAACTCCTGTCTGGAAGGTCGGATTTTGGCCAAACTTGTAAGGCTTGCAGCTGGACTTGTACTGATCTGGGCGGAAGATGATTTCAAAGATTCGGCATATACGCACCTTGGTGGACGCGTGCGGGAACGGAATGAGAGCATTCACGGTTGCAACTGGGAGGCATTGCTGGAGCTCCGACGGTCGCAGGTGATGTCGACAATTTTGCAAACGCGCACCCTGGTGAACAGGTGCGGGATAGGCACAAGAGCGTTCGCGATGGTGACTGGGTGGATTAGCTGGAGCTCCCGCGGTCGCCGTAAGGCCGGAGCGGCGCTTTGCTGTGAAGGCGTTCAATGCTGCTTGCAGCTTTAATTTGTTTTGCAATTCTTAAATATTATTCATATTTATTTTTGTTTGCTTAATTTCATATTTATATTCCAGGTTGAAGGTGGCAGTCCAGTCTTGTGTAGGTTCCGTTCCACTCGTGTCTCGTGCATCACAGCTTGGGGGGTGAATTTCTGATCTTGTGTTACCTTGAACCATCCTTTTGTCTTTTAGTTCACTGACCACTGGAAAGCCTCGGCCTTGGCTGAATATTTAAGAATCATTATTGCCTCCATTAGAATTGTTTTTTAACTTAGTGTTTATAAAATGTATATTGTATCTTGGAACAGTCTCCTGCTTACTTGTAAACAAACCCAAGTGCCTTTTCTGTGTATAAATTATGTCCTTGGGTGAAAGTCCTAAGGTGGTGTTGCAGTAAGTTTATAAAATTAAAATAACATCCATACCCAAGCTCATCACATAAACGTATGTGTTCTAATCTAGTGTTACGTAATTAGTTATTTAAAGGTTTTGAATTATTTTAAACATTCTTCAATTCAAACACACTTGAGCAGCATACTGTACCGTTTTATTTTATTTAATTTAATTTGTGGATTGATTCAGTTGTATTGAAAGGAAAACAAATGTAATTTACAATATCTAGTAAAAACAAAAAAAACTTTAACTACTGCACTATAAATTGATAGTGGATTATAGATATTTTCCCAAATTATGCAAGGTTGTAATATACTTGCGGTTATCCATTCATCATGCATGGCATACATAAAATTATTAAAATCGTTCAATATACCGACTAACCTCATATATTAATCAGTTAAATGTTGATTTTTGTGTATGTAATTGTGCTGGTGTTTTACTAAACCTGTCAGTAAAATTTCATCTGCAGTTTAAATAATTCCCCGTCTCTGTTGTTCCGGTGAGTCTGATTTCTACCGGAAGCAAAGGACGTGAACACTCCTGGAAGAAAGAACTCTTTGGACTACTTCAGCCGTTGTCATGGCGACGTGCGTCCCCAGCAAACAACCAAACTTTACTGAGAAATCAAAGTAATCAAGTCACTGTTTTGTTGTAATGTTTCAGCTATTTCAAATTCTCCAAATTGTTGACTAAATAAACAAACAAACGTAAGCAAAACAAATCAACGAAGTTCGATTTATGATGCGATCAAGCAGCGTGTAGAGAGAAGGTGGGAGAGGAGTGATGTTATCGCAGTTTGATGACAAAGAAACAAAGAACATGTGTGGTCTGGTGAACTTACATGGTAGTCCCTGAGCCAGCTCTGCAGCTTGTCCTGTAACACGCTGAATGAAGATGTGCTCAGTCTTCTTAACGTGTCCGCCATGTCCGTTCAATCAATGGATCCCCCGAGGCGTCAAACACTCCGGGATAATAAAAACAGAAGGAGGGAGGGGTGTGTGTGCGTGTGTGTGTGCGCGCGCTGTAGTGAAGATTCCTGGACACACACAAGCAACCAGAGCAGCAGAGTCCAATTCTGATTTCCTGTAATCCAGACTAGCCCGCTGTAATGTCATCTTGTCAAATGATACCGACACCCAAATACTGTCAGCACCTGCTGCAGAACAAACCCTGCAAACAACATGCTGGACGATACTCTGCATTATCCGACTACAAGCACCTTCAACATGTAACAGGAAAAAACTGAGCCCTGAGTCTTTTCAGAGTCAGAGTCAGAGTCAGAGTTTCTTTATTGTCATTCGCACCTCATGTGGTACATGTGGTGGAGCGAAATTATGTACACAGGGTCCCAGTTACATCCAACAATAAAATGTATAAGAAAAACAGTAATAACATCTAAGATATGAACTAAGAAAAACATCAACTAAATATACACTAAGCACTCATAACATAAAACATTGAACATCAGCACGAACATGAACATGAGTCTGTGAGCAGATGTGCACGCATGAACACATCAACATTGAAACAGATCAGCAGCAACATGAAACAGATCAGCAGCAACATGATATGGTTTTTCACAGTGATTATTCTAGTTAGAGATTCATGAGTCTAACAGCCTCAGGGTAGAAGCAAGATATTTCAAGATATTTCGACAGACAGACAGACAGACAGACAGACAGACAGACAGACAGACAGATAGATAGATAGATAGATAGATAGATAGATAGATAGATAGATAGA